AAAATGGGTTAATTTAAGATAAAAGAACAGTTAGCAAGAAGCCTGCCACGGCCATACAGTTTATAAGTGATATAAGCGTCTGAGTGATTATTTTATATGTGGATTGTGGGACTGCGGGGCTTGGGGAACCTGGAGAGAAGCCCTCCAGCAACAAAAGGCTCAACAAACCTTTGCAATACTCCAGCAAACCGTGAGGACTGGTCTTCTCAGAGCACTAGAAAAGACAAATGTGAGTTCTCCTTTGGGGAAAAAAAAAAAAATAGAGCAGAGCATGATGTTCAGTGCTTACAATGCCAGAACTTGGGAGGCTGAGGCAGGGGGATCATGAGTTTGCTGTCAACCTTGGCTACACAGAAAGAGTCTATCTCAAATAACCTATTGTAACCAGTCTCTTAAAATGGGACGATAGTGGTTTTGTTTACCAATGACTGGGCTGTGCAAAGTGCTAAATGTTCTATTTTTGTGCCCAGTAAGTAGTCTTCAGGAAGGTCAAGTAACATTCATGGTAGCATGTGTTGTGGTATGCATCGGCAGTTTGTCACGGCTACTGTTGTCACAGTACTTGTGACAAGGTACACAGACACACGCGCCTGGATCTTACAGAAGGGAAATTCAAAGACACTTCAAAATATTTATTCGACCATGAAAGACACAATCCGAATTGCAGCTATGCGGAAGTTTACAAACCAAAAATGAAAAGGGATGATGCCAACTCATTTTTTTATGAACATTTTAGACCAGTTTTGCCATTCAAACGTCTTTAACTCCACTCTTCTAAAAGCTTACTGTATTGCTCTATTTTGTTAGGTGAACCGCGTTTGTTTGCTTTAGTTTGCTTTATGAGACAAGGTGTCTTTATATCTGGTTCACTGACAATCCTCCTGCCTCATCTTCTGGAGTTCTGGGAACACCGGTGTGTCCCCACGCCTGGAAAGATGCAGTTGTTTTAAAACACAGGTTAAAAATCTAGAATGGCCTTGCCTGCTTGCGCGAGACAAGTTACCTCACTCCTTCGAGTCGCCTTCTCCATGTTAAAGGAAGGCAATGCTCAGATTATGATCTTCTGGAAATTAAGCAAGGCAACAACCTACGTGAAACATCTTGAACGCACCAGGTGTCGACAGGTGCTAGCAACAATTATTGCAAGAAGGGATTAAGGGCATTTAGGTAGGAGATCACAGCCATGAGGCCAGATTCTTAGTCTTTTTGAACCGCAGGCCAAGATGCTTTACTGACTCCACTGTAAGGTTGTCCACAGGGAAAGTGGTCAGGAAGAGCGGAATGCCCTTCAGCGACATCCTCGATTGTTATCATTTTTAGTCTCTGCAACACGGCTACGGAAAGTACAATAAAAATGCAAAATTCCCCAGCACGAGTTTGGAAGTGAAAAAAAAAAAAAAGGGAACATAAAAGGAAACACTCAACCTCCTCAAGAAACGCACAGCTCACTGCCCCGCCTTGGTGTTTATATTTTTCTCCTTGGCCCCGCCCCCGGGCCACGAGAGCGGCCAGGCCACGCCCCCACGCCGAAGTTCCAGGGCCGGACTCGCCGAAATCTTCAGCCTGCCTGCAGGGATTCCCTCACCAGCCAATCGCGTCTGAGCCACGGGGCCGCCAGGAACAAAGATGGCCGGGGCGGCTTCGGCGAGGGCAGCCTGATCCGAACGCCAGGCACCCGGCGGGACGGCAAAGGCAGAGTGGCAGCCGCGCGGTCGGGAGCATGGAGGAGGGCAGCAGCGGCGGCGGCAGCAGCGGTGGCAGCGACAGCAACACCAGCGGGAGTGGCGGGGCGCACCAGAGAGAGCTGGAACGCATGGCTGAAGTCCTGGTGACCGGGGAGCAGCTCCGGTAAGGAGAGGCGCTCGGTCGGTGGGCTCCCGGCTGGTTGCACTGCTAGCGGTGCCCGCCGCGGACCGGAGAGCACGAGCGAGCTGGCTCGTGGCAGGCTCGGTGGCTCGCGGGGCGCCGGGACCGTGGCGGGCGCGTGGGATGGTTGGTTCCAGCCGCGCGAGTGCCGGGCGGCTGCAGCCCCGGGACGAGCAGCTTCAGGAAGGCTCCAGGGACCGATGCCGGGGAACCGGGAACGCATGGTGCAGGCTGCGCCCTACCTAGCTGGGCTTCTGCAGCCCTGCGTCCCGCGGACTCGCCACCACTCAGTGCGCGCCGACCCCGTGCCAGGTTTCCCTGATGACAGCCTGGAGCCTGCTCGGCTCGAAAAGAAGAGTCGGATCGGACCCCAGCCCCTGAAGGTCCAGATAAAAGGCACTAGCTTCACGATTGCCTTCAGTTCAGCTTTCCTTTTATGGGAGCAAGGCATGCTTCCCTTCCTTGAGCCTCAGTTTACTTATATGTAAAACTGGGCGGATCTCTGCGAGTCCCTTGAGGGGTTGCGCTGAAGGCTCGTCTTGGGAGAACGTGTCTGAGCCCTTTACCTCTCCCTTAATTGGCACGTCGTCAGTTGTCACTTGGGTCCACAAGGGGGCGTGAAAGTACCTTGTTCGGGGCCCACGTTTGGGACCCTGGAGTTGGCCGATCGCCCCGCACTTTTTCCTAGAATTATCACTTGCCCAATCTTACAAATCCAGGAACAAGCACTGACCTCCAGGGCTCCCTCGCTATTCCCATCGCTTCCTGTTCCCTTTTTTTCTCGGGCATAGGCTTGAGAGTTGTGCTTCCGCAGCTGCAGATATTGTGGTCATAAATCAGATGGCCAGTTAGAATGAATCCGGCTCTGCGGCGTTTTTTGCCAAAACGAACCAGAAAGAGGTGCGCTAGTTCCCCCTGGTTCTTGGCTTGATTTTTTTTTTTTTTTCTTTCCTGGCTTATTTCGGTTTCTAAATGTCTATTTCAAGACTTGAAGGAGAATTTTTTGCGAAGGTCCCTGGAGGTCTGGTAAACCACTGGGCTTTGCAGGGCTCAGTTTGAGGAAGTAGCTGTTCAAAGTCGGGATGATCGGCTAGTGAGACAGAAGGAAAATTACGCATTTTGGTTCCCTGTTGAATTTCAAGTGTGTGGCCGAAATGACAGGGAATTAAAAACCTGTTTTCCTTCATCAAGAGTATGTTTTAATGAAGAAGATGATGTAAAGCTTATCTTATTTAATCTGATTTTCTTAATAGTTTAATGTCTTGCTCATTTATTGCATTGCTGTTTGGAAAAGCTTCCCTGGGATGGGGATTCCTTACTTTTTATTTCTTTTACTAACATGATTGTGTCCCCAAAGCACGTCCTCCTTCAAGATGCTGCTCCTTAAATGTACCTTCCCCAGAGAAAGCACTTTGCAGGCTTTCCAGCCACAGTTCTGCAGACCTAAGGGGAAATAGGTTCTGACCCCGGGTTAGATCTGGGTTGGAATTTCTGTTCCTCCTCCATGTAGCCAAGTGTTACCATGACTTTGTTTTGAGGAGGACTTTGAGCCAGACTGAATCCTGGCCTTGCCCTTTGCATAGTTAGAATAGGGCCTTGGACAAGCTCTTTTGGTGAGAAGGATGAGTTAACAGTGGAATTTACCTTGCAGTGTTAATTCCGTGGATTACGTGGAGTTAGTCCCTACACAGGTGTTGATACACACCATGTGGTCATTCGCCAGTGTAGCCGAGCTTGGACAAATGAATGTTCTTGTCTGAGCTACTTCCTCATCTGTAAAGTAGCCATGAAGATGAAAATATTTCTTGGGGTGCTTTTGAGAATCTGACTCGGGCTTCCTGCATTAGTGAGCAATCTGCAGGGGCCTGCTGGAATGAATTGGTGTTACAGGTCTCTGCGCAATAATCATACTTGACTTCCAGGCTGGTAAAATGTAGAAGGTCTGGGTGGTTGATAAGAGCACAGGATGTAAGACCAGACTGCTGTGGGTTTTCTCCCTTTGCCTCCACCATGTGATACTTCTGTGACTTTGGGACAACCGACTTCCTCTCTTGCCTCAGTATCCTCTTTAGAGAAGGGGGATTTAAAAGACACTGTTTCAGTTTGGGGAAGGGCTGAGATGTCACATCCACATTTGAGTATGATGGTATGCACCTGCAATCCCAGCTCTTGGGGGATGGGGACCAGAGAATTACAAGTTTGAAGTTACCCTAGCCTATATAGTAAGTACTAGGCCAGCAAGGCCCTATCTTAAAAAAAAAAAAAACAAACAAACAAAAAAAAAACAAAAAACTGAGCAAATATTAACCATTTAAAATTGATTTGAAGAATTCAATTTCACTTTTATTTCAACTATTTTAAAGCAATTAAATAATTTTTTTTGGTTTGGTTTTTCAAGACAGGGTTTCTCTGTGTAGCTTTGCGCCTTTCCTGGAACTCACTTGGTAGCCCAGGCTGGCCTC